CAGCATTTAAGATGAAAGCTGCAGATCAGTGAGTCCCAACATCGTGTCCTAATGAATTATTTTATGTGAATAAACAGAAATTATGATTTGATTAAAACTGCATCCGCCAACCAGTAAAGCTGTAATTACAATTTATATCCATGTGCGGCCAGCCTCACGTGTAGCCATGACAGTTGACTTCAAACATGGACGTTGCTGCAAAGAAACTACAAATTCTTAAACATGGATGCTTCACACACAGAAGATCTATCCAACCAGTTCCAAGATTAGAGTCACCAATTCAGTATCTGACCAAATGTCTTCCCTTCTGTTCCTGAGATATGACGTTGAGTAACGCATGGAGAAGTGTTATTGCAGAACATTTTAATGTCACAGTGAATTTGACCTTTGGAAAATGAAATGTTATCACTTTTTCACATTTATATGAAATTTTGTCACAATGGGTTGATGAATTCTTGAATGATAGACAAAAAAATGTTGTTGTTTTTTTTTAGGTCACAGTGACCATGACTCTTGACCTTTAACCAGCAAAATCAAATCAGTTTATCGTTGAGTCCAGGTGGATGCTTGTGCCAAATTTGAGGAAATTCCATCCAGGTATTTTTGAGATGTCCTGCTTACGACAATGGGACAGATGCAAGGTCACAGTGACCTTTGACCTTAAAATTCTTATTAGTTCATTGGACATTTGTGTCAAATTTGAGGAATTCCCTCAAGGCATACCTCAGATACCACATCCATCAGATTTAAACAGACACCAAGTCCCAGCAAACTTAAACCAACAAAATCAAAATCAGTTCATCGGTGTGTCCAAGTGGACGTTTGTGCCAAAGTTGATGAAATTCCCTTGAGGCATTGCTAAGTGTTTACGAGAATGGAACGGACAGATAACCTGAAAACATAATGCCTACGATCACGGCTATCGCCAGCGCGGAGGCATTAAAAGGCGACATTTAACAAAAGTAACAACAAATGTAGTGTTTATTTTTGTTGATTTAATAAGTGGTGACATTTTGGTTCAAAATAAAATGTGAAATAACATGATTATTGCTGGCCTCCATGGGCCCCCAAGCAGCTGGGCCCCAGAAACCTTTCCCATTTTCTGCCCTTACACGTGGCCCTGACCCCTGGTGCAGACACTGGAGAGAAATCACATCTGTGTTGAATTTATTTTCTTTAAAAATCCACCCAGGTGTTCAGAGTTCAGGCTTCTTTTATAACTCACATGTTCACAAACTCAAATATTTAGCTTTATTTGAAATATTCCAGTCTCGGCCAAATTCATATAAAGAGCACGAGGGAGGATCATCAAACACATGATGTTTAAACAACAGTAAATCTGAGCACTATGAGCCGGACCTGAAATAACACTGAACCTTTAACAGGCAGCTCACACTCAGACATAACTACATCACAACGTGCAGGTGCATCGTGCAGCGATACTCCATCATCATAATGGGTTTTCCATGAGAGATGGAGTCAGAGTTCGGCCTGTGACAGAGAGGACACACAGGGCGGCTGGTTTTACTGACACTAAACACAACAACACAGACACGTTGGTGTTTTAAGACCCGTCAGATGGAGGAGGTTAAATCAGATTCATCTGAAGCCGCGATGATCTGCACAGAGAACATGTTCAGGGTGAACCTGAGAGATGGGAACTGATGTGTTCAAACACGTGTTAGGACAACAATAAAGACCACACACAGCCACCTGATGATGGCTGCTCCTCAGTCTGAGCAGAGAGGCCATCATTGGGCATGTGCAACATTCACCTCAATCCTCTGACATCACTCCATCACACTGCAGCTTTACTGGACTTTGCTGCTGCTGCTGTCTCCCCTGTCTTACAGAGGCTACAGAGGGCTGAGCTTTAAAGCTACAGTGATGATACTGGTATCGCCATGTTATGCTAGGTTCTCAGGAAGGGGGCGAAATAACACTCCAAAGTTAGGCTAAATTTGGCGAGGGAAAAACAGCATGGCCATTTTCACAGAGGTCTCTTGACCTCTGACCTCCAGATATCTGGATGAAACTGGGTAATATGGGTCCTCACGAGTCTCCCCTTTACAGACGTGTTCACTTTAAATTAGTCTCACAAAGTTTGGGGGAACAAACTATGCACTTTTTTGCGTACAATGTTTACTACAGATTTATGAGTAGAAGAACTCGACACACAGTGCTGAGCTGCATCTCAAATTAATCTGCAGGTTTCCAGCTGTCAGGTGATATTTCCACCTCTATGTGACATCTACTGCTGACCTGCTGTCTCACCCAAAAAGACAAACATGGGTCTACAGTCTGTGGGTCTCAGAGGGTTAACTGTGTGCTGCTGCAGCAGAGCAGCTCTGATTTAAAAAAAATAAATCTAAAAGTCAAGATCAGTCAGTTTCTTTGAATTCATCTGATTCCCAATCAAAACTCTCTGGTAAGAACTGCCTACTGTGGTGGAGTAGAAATATACCGTCACTCAAAATGGAAATATCAAAGTAAAGTCCAGTGGAGGGATTCAATCTGAGGAGCTCAGAACCTGTGAACTCTGAATCTATCAGTGTGTGTTTCTACAGTCTGAATAATGTACAGACACGTTTTTATTTGAAGCTATTTTCAGCCACAGGTTAAAAAACGTGACAGCAGTTCACAGTGAGGTCTGTGGTTTACTCATCTTTATTTAACCTCTGAGCACCACAGAGGGAGGAAGTGTTTGATTTAAACCACAGAGTACACCGACATGCTGGATAACACCGCCCTCTAGAGGTGAACTGATGCAACTGCAGCATTAAATGACAGTGTGGTGAAACATCTGGGGCCAGATGAACCATGATATGGACAGTTTCAATGGACAAAAAATAATCCCACAACAGGAATCGACAGTAATGCTCAACAGGTTGCCATTGGCAACCATTTTGAGAAACTGGGAACCAATTCTTGGCATTTGGTTGCCATCTTTCTCAGGCATTCCATCATCACTGAACTCATGTTCACGTTAAAGGCTGCAGTTTATGTTGCTGTTAATCTGCACTGTCAGTGTTTCTAATTAAAGTATATTAAATATGAAAGTAGGAAAAGTTTCCCAGCAGTGGTGATCTGTCGTATTGATGTTATTTCCTTATTCCCTCTCTGATGATTTGTCTCCACCTAAAACAAATCTGCTCATGCTCAACGTAGCTAAACATTTTTATCTTAAAAAACCTTGATGTGTTTTCTCTTTTTACTGTGACCTGATAGGGCTGGAGGAAGTGTAAAAAGTACTAATACCACACTGAAAATTCTCTACTATGAGTAAAAGTGAAAGTCAGAACCTTATTTAAGTAAAATATGTCATCAGCTAAATGTACCTAAAGTTATAAATAAAGTAAATGTCAGTTGAAATCAAATGTCACAAAAATGATCTGAACCTTGTTGACTACTGTAAACTGTGAACTCGCACAGATGTAAAACTCTAAAGGGAAACTCACCTCTTCATATGTCATTTGTTTTGTTTGTAAATAAAAAGTGACGTCTTTCAGGGAACTGACGGGACAACAACAACTTTACACAGTGGCGAAACCAGCAAATTAATTACACTACTTTTACGGTTTGACACAAAGCGGTGTGTCACACTCACAGCACAGTTTAACCCAAGTGAGCCTCACCTGTTCTCCTCTGTATCCGCTGTCAGTTCCGGTGACGTCAGCCATATAAGTTCAGTTTTATCTCGTTGTCCCGCTGCTGCCGTGTTCGGCAATCCTCCCAGAGAGTGGCGTAGAGCCTAAAATTTCTGTTCATGATCAGGAAATATCTCCCCGGATAAAAAACACACAAGCTAACGGCGAGCTGGCAAGCTAGCAGTTAGCGGTTAGCAGTTAGCATTGAAGCACCACTTCACGTTAAATCCGGTTATTTTTACCGGATGTTTGTTTTATAAAAACATCCCGCAGCAGATAAACACCGAATAACGTTAATTTGATTATCAGCTTTTCTTCTAAAGACAAACTTTATTTAAAAAACTATAAAGTATAATCCACCTCGTTAATGTCCCCGCTGTACGGCCCCCTTTAAATCAGACTGTGATGACCGGGAGATATCAGCCAATCAGGACAAAGGTGCTCTGGCAAGCAGCCAATCAAATTGCAGCGGGTCAAAGGTCAATCACCACCACGTCTCTGAGCATGCGCAGTGTTGTTTAAGTGCCCTTGCGAGCCTCTTGAGCCAAACACGATTAAAACACCATTTAACATCCACAATATTATAATTTAAATAATGTGAAACTACAGTTTTATATTTTAACCTCTGACTTAACATTATGAAGCCTCATAATGATAAATAACACCAGCAACGAATCCAGAATTATATTTATTTCTAGTAGTAACTAAGTACATTTACTCAAGACTTAAGTACAATTTTGAGGCCCTTGTATTTGAGTGTTCTTGTTTCACTATTTTATCCCTCTAATACACAATATATCAGGAATGGTAAATATATATATATAAAAAAAAAAGTTTACTCCAGTACATTTAGTTACTTTAAAAATTCTGATTACTGAAACAGAATATAATAAATAATAAATGATGATGTGTTATTACAGATTAATCTACCCTCTATCGTTCTGCAGAATACTAGAGTACTTTTACTTTTGGTACTTTATGTTGATGCTAATACTTTTCCACATTTACTTTAATTAGATTTTGCAGGCAAAGTTTTACCTGATGAGCTTCTTCTATCTCCAGTGCGTCTCTTCTCTCTTGCCTCTAGATATTCCCTCCCGTGCACCTGACTACAAGAACCTGAAGGTGTGATGAGCCTCTGCAGTTACAATCTTTAAAACTGTGTCAAGATCATAAATGTAGTTTAAACTATCACAGATTTGTGTAATAATAACAAACATGAGACCAGAAACCCAAAATAAGAGTTTAATTGTAGTTCATTTACAAAATACAAGAAATACATTTAAAAAGTTGTCCAGAGTTCAAACAAAAGGAGCCGCAGTAGAAATTATAGAAAATGTTGCTGAGCTTTTGTTTGATGGTACACTGTTTTATTTATATTGACAAAACATTTTTTTAGCTTCAGTCTGTGTGGACTTCAGCTTTTATTGTGAAGGAGCACAAACAGGAACATGATCTTCTCTTTTTGTAATGACATGAAAACAAACAAAGACACACAGATTTGATCTGATTTAAAGGAACAGTTTGACAGTCGTTGAGATTTAAATGAGAGGATTTGATCCCACTCTCTCACTCTCGTGTCTGTGTGGTGCAGATGTAGCTGGTGTCAGCAGCTGGTTAGCTTAGCTTAGCATACAGACAGGAAACAGCGAGTGTGGTTCTGTCCAAAGGCAACAAAATCCATCTCCAAGCTTCTCTAACGCTCACTGATAGATATATGGAGTCAATTATTAGTTTGAGACGTGTTGGTAGAGTGTTGTTTAGTTGCCTGTAAACAGAGCCAGGCTAGCTGTTTCTACCTGTTTCCAGTCTTTATGCTAAGCTAAGCTAACTGGTTTCTGGGTGGAGTTTGAGTTGGGTTTATCTTATCTAACTCCGTCCTCCACCAACAGAGGGATAAACAAACTGTTCCTTTAACAGATTAGGGAGGAGATGTTGTAGAAAATGTGTGTGTGTGTGTGTGTGTGTGTGTGTGTGTTAGTCCTCCCAGGCGAAGTCGAACGGCTGGAAGTCGTCTCTCAGCTGTTTGCAGCTCTCCTCCTCCTCCTCTCTGCTCTGTTTACACTCCCTCCAGTCGGCTCGAGTCGGGATGTTCAGCACCGCCTCGCTGGCCAGCACCTCCCTGAATGGAGACATATATATACTGTATGTTTTATATATGTTTTCTTTTTTTAAAACATATTTTATTAGCATATTTTCATTAGTATCTGTCAAAAAACATTTAGTGACACCTGTTTTTCCAACAATGAATAATGAATGTAAATAAAATAAATACATATGTATTATCATTTAAGGGGGACAGTGTACAGGCCACTGCAGTATGTCTTCAAAGTTCTGTCAGAATTTAGGGCTCTGAACAGGCTCTTTACATCACTGATCAGAGCTCACGTGTGTGCGCTTGCGTGAAACTGTGAGACATGGGCACCGCGTTCATGTGTGTTCACGTGCATTCGCTGGTCCATGAGCGAGGTGCCCAGAGAGGCAGTCAGAGCTACAGGCTACAATGAGGCTAAAAACAGAGTTCAAATGAGGTTTTTCCAAACAACTTTTTATGTCGGGGCTTCAGGACACTTGGATCACTACGGACGAGCAGTATGGAGATATTTTGTGGTTTCAATGATGTGTTTTTGGACGTTTGAATCTGGGGCGCCGTCAGCCTCCATTAGGTGGAGTTGTGTTGCTACCTCCTCTCCCCTTGGATCTCTGCAAGTGATGTGAGGACTCTAAAACTTCACCTGAGCCTCCCTAGACATATGGGTGAGTAGATAATGGCTGAATTTACATTTTTGGCTGCACTATCCCTTTAACTCCAAGATCTGTTTCCATATTTGGAGGTGTATCTGAAGCTAGGAGGTCATACAGAAACAAAATATGCCGTCTTGTCATGTTTGTCACAGGTAAAAGGTTATCAATTCCCAATGGGGGTGGGGCATCTGGGGAAGACATTTAAGATTCTTTTTTTTTCTTATGATCGTCAACTGAAGATCAGAGTTTTATTCAAACTCTTAAAGGTTCAGTGTGTCAGATTTTGGAGGATTCAGTGGTGAGGATTGTTCATTTATCTCTGCCTGCAGAGTTCTGACAGTGGGAGCAAAAAAGTTTTCTTAACTCTTCATTTTAATGTTTAAGATTGCTTCTTTTTTCATACAATTGTAGGCTGAAGTTTAAACGTCTGAATCATTCGTCACTGATGATGTAAAGATTCATTTATAGACTGTTTCACCTTCCAAACTGCAGAGGGAAATGTTTCTGGATGCGGTAATAGAGTTTGTCCCCTGAATCCAACTCCACGTAGAAGTACGGAGTCCCTGGAGGAGCAATCTGACAACACACACACACACACACACACACAAAAGCAGGTTTCATATTTAAGCTGAATATGAGAAAAACATTTCTAAACCTTGAGATTAAAAACAAACTCCTTTGTCACAGTGGGACTAACACACCCAGATCATGTGACTCCTGCATGTATACAGTCAATCAGACCCAAACTGGCCGAGGCGCTCTGAGCATGCTCCACAGTTTCCGCCCCGGGCTTTGACCCGGAAGTCCAATAGCATTAAATGTGTAAGAGAAGAAGAAGCCGGTAACAACATGGAGAAATCTACATCCAGAGCCGTGACTTTTTGGACGAACCAAATGTACAGAGCTGTAAAGTTGTCCACCATGGTAGCAGTTAGCTGCTAGCTAACCGTAGCTAACTTGTTTGTCCATTGTTTGGTCTGTGACGTAATAGGTCAACAGGAAAAAGGTCCAATACTAACAAGCTGAAAGGGGGCATATCTCCACCTATCGTAGAGGAGTCGCACATACTTGGCTCAATAAATGGATTCCCCTCCCGTGCTTGTATACTGGGACAAGGACAGTAGGCCAGTTAAATGTCCTCGTCCAGCTGGGACTGGAGTGTGTGTGTGTGTGTGTGTGTGTGTGTGTGTGTGTACCTGTTTGAGGTCGGTGTGTTGAGGGATCTCCATCAGCTCCATCTGTTGCTCCTGAGCCTGGACCATGAACGCCTCCTTGATGTCCTCTGTGGCGCAGCGGTCCAACGGCACCGGGACCACCTGAACAAAGAGGTTCATCCAACACTCCACTGAGTCATCAGTGACAATCAGGGGGTGGACGAAATAATAGAAACACCCACCAGATGTGTCAACATCCCTAAAAAACTGTTCAAAAATCTAACACTTTATCTTTTTGGCGAAGTTTTTATTTTTTACAAATCATGTTTTATACTTGTTTTTGTTTCTATGTGAAATGTCTCTGGGTTCAATTTTTTTGGATAAAAGGTGCATTAATTTGAACGTAATTAATTAATTTTGAGTGAGTGCGTGTTCAGTGGACATCTACCCACATGTCTCCATCGACAGACAAACTGATCAGCAACTATTTTGATAATCAATGAATCATGTCAGTCGCCTTTATAAAGTGAAAGTCCCAAACTGGATCCTGCTTCTCAAACTTTATGTGGCTTATGTTTATTTATTGTTTACGTGTTGTGTGTGTGTGTGTGTGTGTGTGTGTGTGTGTGTGTGTGTGTGTGCACCTGTAGCTGCAGGTGCTGGCTCCTGTAATTCCTCTCAAACAGCACGCAGCGCTCTCCTCTGCTCTTGTAGAAGCTCCTGAGCGCCGACTTGTACTTCTCCATCTCCTCCACCACCTCTGAGCTCAGCTCCACCACAGACTGGTAGTGACCGATGGGGAGGATCAGCAGGTGCTGAGGAGTCAGGCCGCCTTTAGCCAGAGCCAGGTAACACTGGGAGAATAAACCACAGTGGTAAGTAACGGCTGCATCAGTCAGGCTGTATATTCCTGATGATCGTTGGTGTGAACTCACGTGTGATCCGATGCTGATGACCAGGTGTTTCTCCACTTGAGGACTCGCCAGACAGAACCAGCAGGGACCAGACGGCTGAGCTACAATACAGTGAACATGACTCAACATTAAAACCCTCGAAGACATTAATAAAATATACTTATAGCCTTCCGACACCATCCACTATTAGCAGAGTTGTATTAGTGTTTTAAAGTGTCAGCAGCTCCTCCGTTCTCTCTGCTTAATGCACTGTGGTAGAACAAGAGATATATTCAGTTCTCCTGGAGCGCTTGGACTCACGGTGTCTGCGGGGCTGTTTGGGTTGTCCCTGATGACGTCCGTCTCCCGCCTCATGCTGCTGGTCTCGTCCTCGTCCGTCTCCGTCCGAGTGTCTCTTCCTGCCGCGGCCTCGGAAACCTCCGCCCTGCTTCTTGCTCAGGTCGAAGAAGAACTGATGGGACGGCTCCTGGAAGAGACGACAGGAAGGACGGAGAGATGGGTTGAGTTTTTCAAAATAAAATTACATCACATGGAGCACCTGTAACACCTGGAGCTCAGGTTTTTAAAATGAGTCGCTTAAATTACTTTTAAATCAAAGTTTCTCAGCAGCAGCCACGATGAGAGCTGGCTGAAACTAATGTGCTAAAAAAAGAAGCTTCAGTGCTTCCTTTCCTTATCTCCTTCAGCTTAGGAAAGGAAAGGTGAGTTTATTGGTATTGCACCTTTAAGAGACAATTTAAAGGGACTTTCATGATGTGAAGAAATGTGTCGGTACAACATTTACAAACATCATAAAGTACAGTAAAATCTATTAAAATAGAATCACAGAAGACAAAAAAATAACCACAAAACCATTATTGTGCAGTGATAAGTTGCCCTGAATGGAACACACACACACACACTCTATACCTCCTCCTCTGTGGTGTTGAAACTTGTCTTCAGTTTGTCCGTCTTGTCCTTCGCGGAGGATCTGTACGGGTTCTCTGTGACGTCCTGCGGCTGCTTCACCAGCTCTGTGGGATCCATCGTCTTCATGGGGATGATGTTGAAGGCATACAGATACTGCATCAGACAGACAGACAGACAGACAGACAGTTGAGGATGTGAAGGAGTCAGACATTAAATATGATGATGTCCTGTGACAGTGTGAGTCATACAGAATCTAAAAATGTGTGTATCACGTCTGTGTGTTCAGATTAGATTCATGATTCAGGAGACACACACACCTTCTTCTTGGCGGGGTTGTTGACGGTTGCCAGGGCGATGAAGCGACTGACGTGCTGCGCATTTTCCTGGAGGACGACATGATTCCTGAAACACATGAACAGCAGCGTTAACACATGAACAGTGTAACAGGACTGGGACGTTGGAGGAAGATTTAAAACACATGACTGAAGTTAAAGAACCAAACCATGTAAAAATACTTCAGTAAAAGTTCTGCTTTAAAATGTTAAAGTAAGAAATGATGAGTAAAGTGTTATCAGGAGCAGAGGTGCTGATCCTACCTGTACGGGAGTCTCTCATAGTGAGCGCCCTCCAGTGCAGCGAAGTGATATCGTGGTTTCAGTTTGTCGGCGAGGTTGGCGACGGAGCTGCTCCCACATGACTTTGTGTTCACTTCCTGTCACACACGACACACATGGAAACAACAGCAGAGTGTCAGAGGTCATTATTTGGACCTTAATCTAACTTCATGACCCACACAGTCGCTGCTCTGGAGTCTTCCTCAGCAGTTTAAGTCTGACAAGCCGTTACAGAAAAGTCGACGTTCAAATGTCAAGTTCTGGTTTAATTTCCCGACAAGAATCATTTTCATTCCACTTTGTTTCACTCCAGATTTTCCCCTGTTCGTCCACAGTTTGAGGAGCACGGCACTGATGAGAACATGAGTTGTTTTGTCACTGACGGGTTCACATTGTTATTCTGAGTGTGTGACATGAGTCAGATCTTTTTTGTTTCACCACAAACAGCCCTGACGTCACCGTCACCAACTCCTTCACTAACACCAGTGTGTGTATATTGAGGACGTGTTACCGAGGTGTTTCCGTATTGCGACACTCCTCGGGGCCACTGTGACGTCAGCAGGATGTCGACCCCTCTGAACTTGGAGCTGCTGGTCAGCGGGGCCACGAGGGCCGACAGGTCTTTGGACGTGAAGCAGTGAGCGGGGGCCGGCTCCTGCAGGGCCTCTCTGCCGCTGACGTAGGCGATCTGTAACCCCGACACGCCCGTGAACACACCGCGACGACCTTAAACACACACATATTAACATGTTTAATGATGGGAGCGTTACTGTAGAAACCAAAGCTCTCTGAGTGGAGTCTCACCCAGATACGTGATGTTCTCAGCCAGCTCGCAGCCGTCAGCGCTGGGGAAACTCTTCACCGTCTCCTGGCTCGCTGCGCCGAGGATGTAGGTGTGGATGGGAGCTGAGGAGGCACAAAGGAGACTTGAGTTAGAGAAGGAGACAAGGTGCTTGTGCTTTAATTAAAGGAATCAGTCTTCTGGGTTTAACTAAAGAAATGACAGAGATCTGAGAGGTGATGAGATGCTGCTGAAGCTGCAGATACTTTTACTGCTCACTGACTTTTTTAAGATTTCATTTTTGTATCATTAAATTTAAGATAAGGGGAAGTAAAGCAGTAAAGTTCATGGCAAAAGGAAATGATTTAACTGAATTAGATGTTTGACATATTTCAAAGTTTGTTTTCTCTTCAGCTGATGTACCATTCTGACACATGCAGCTGTGTTTAAAGGACAGTGTGTCAGATTTAGGCCCCGATCACACATTGACACTGCAAACACAACGCTACAGGTCGCAGCAGGACGGGAAGGGGAATTAAAACACAATCAAAATGCAGAGAGTCTGCTCAGCTTTGAGTTTCTGAGTTCCAGTTAAAGTTCCCACAGGTGTGAAACAGGTGTGATCCAGATGATCGTACCTTTCTTGGCTCCAGTTTTGTACTGCTGCCACTCGGCCTCAGCCTCCGGGGTCGTCCCGAAAAACTCTCCGACACACAGCAGCAGCTGAGACAAGACAAACATCACTGATGAGCCACGACTTCATGATGATGACGACAACATGAAACATGAGCAGCTGGAGAACCTCAGGATCATTTACTGAAAACTGAAAAAAAGACGTCAGATTTTAACTGAGTTGAAATCTCACATCAAACTGTCCCGTCTTCTTCTGGATGGTCTGGACTCGGTTGAACAGAGCGTTCAGTCGGCCTTCTACATCTCCACACGCCAGACTGCAAACACACACACACACACAGACTTTAATGTATGTCTCTATAGCAACAGCAGAATACGGGACTGAAACAGGAAGGACAATGAAAACATATGTCGTCGCTCTGCTCGCCAGAAATACAGCAAATGTTCCTTTAACCTTCTGAAACTTGGAGCAACGTCACTTGTCTTGTGCTGCTTTGTGACACCTTTCACAAGTATTTAAACCTTTGACCTCTGAGCTCACTGGTGTGATTTATTACACACACATGGGGGGGGGAGGTAACGAGCAACTTGGTGAGAAATGTTCCACAAATTCCACAAAAATTAATAGATTAAGAAAATTATTTTAAAAAAGCTAGGGAGAAACTATATTCATAAATATCATTATTATATATTTAAAATTATATTCCAGAATTATTATTATGAATTATTATTTCGTGGCAATTTTTTCTGTTTTTCGTGGTATTTTTTTCTGTTCTTTTTTTTGTGGTATTTTTTTGTTTGTTTTTCGTGGTATTTTTTTCTGAGTTAGGAGAGCAATAGAACAACAGACACAAAAATTAATAGATTTAGAAAATTATTTTAAAAAAAGCTAGGGGGAAACTATATTCATAAATATCATTATTATATATTTAAAATTACATTCCAGAATTATTATTATGAATTATTATTTCGTGGCATTTTTTTTCTTTCTGTTTTTTGTGGTAATTTTTTTCGTTTGTTTTTCGTGATTTTTTTGTCTGTTTTTCGTGGTATTTTTTTTGTATGTTTTTCGTGGGGTTTTTTTCTGTTTTTCATGGTATTTTTTCTGTTTTCGTGGTAATTTTTTCTGTTTTTGTGGTAATTTTTTTTCTGTTTTTCGTGGTATTTTTTTCTGTTTTGTGGTAATTTTTTTTTCTGTTTTTCGTGCTAATTTTTTTGTTTGTTTTCCATGGTATTTTTTTCTGTTTTTGTGGTAAATATTTTTTCTGTTTTTGTGGTATTTTTTTTCTGTTTTTCGTGGTATTTTTTCTGTTTTTTGTGGTATTTTTTCTGTTTTTTT